TATATATATATATATATATATATATATATATATATATATATATATATATATATATATATATATATATGAGAAAGAGAGAGAGAAAATATGAGTATTTTCATATTTGTGTGAAGGTATGCTATGAAAGCTCTCACTGTGTATACTAAACGCGGTTGATTTTGATATCTTAGATTATCGATCAAGAATTTATAGATCTTGAAAATGAAAACTATTTCGTAACAAAAGCTTTAACCAAAAAAATTATTTGTGATTGCATTTCGATACATTTAATGCAATTATGACTTGGATAATATAAAACTATTTTATCACACAGAGTTCACCAAATTAATTTTAATACATGATTTAATATTCATATATTACAACTTATTTTTTCATTAAATAATACAAAAATAAAAAAGGAATTAGGAATCCACAACTACAAAAATCAAACAAGAATGTTTCCCATAGTTTGATAGCAATCATACCTTCAAATTATACAATCTTCATTTTTAGGATGTAACCCGTTTATTGATAAATTTGTGATTTCACGTTAAATTTTTGATACAACATAAAAAGCAAAACAAAAAAAAAACCCATTTTTTCAAACGATGATTTTGTCTTGTCCAGCGAATCGATCGTATCTCGCAAATTTTGATACGGAATACAAGGGATATGATGCTTTTATCATCGTCATACACAAACCCTTGCAAGCATATACCAACTATTTACGCAATGTAGAATTTAATTAAAAAACCATTCTTGAATTGTAATTTGTATCATCAAGAAACGACGTCGTTCTGTTTCTGTTGTTATATGGAATCGTAAGAATAAATGTTTACATGATCACAGATCCCGAAATCATATAATTAATGAAAAAAGAATTGATATTCATTACATTGGATTTCTTGCAATCTCAACTGTTATCCATCATCCTTAATCCAAGAAACCCCCCCCCCCCCTCCCCCCCTTCATTCAATGAAGACAGCTTTTTTAAGTTTATAGCAGCTGTCTTTTTATTGTTTTTTTATTTCTTTCACAACAAACATCCAACCATCCTCCTTTCAAATCTATTTTTTTATTACAACTTTGCCCTTCCAAATCTCTTAATTCAACTACTTTATATGTATTTGAGACGGGTATTTCAGTATTTCACTTACAAATTCTGTTATGCAACTGGTATTTTTGACAGATAAATTAGCTGATGAATAATTGAACAGAGAATTGATTAATAGTCATGAATGAAAGAAGGCATAATCTTATATTTACAAAATTGTTGTTAGAATTGAGCAAAATGTACATTACATACACATGGGGGAAAGAGAGATGTCTAACTAGCAAGGATGAAAGTTACATGCCCAAAATCCAAACATTTTTTTGGCAATTACATGGCATTTTTTAAACTTGAGGGGTTAGTTTTGCTATTTTAGTAAAGAAATGGGGTAGGAATAAAAAAACCATACTTCTACTTATCTCATCTCCTAATATTATGCTTAAACCTTTTTCTTTCTCTTTTTCACCCTTGTCAAGAAAACAAAAACACACAACCATTATATTATACGATTTTACTGATACGATGCAGTAAATCGATTAAAATTGTTGTAAATGACACTTTGGTTGTTGATCACAATACTGATCTTAATCAAGTTTGTCATTTACAACAATTTAATTTGTTTATTGTATCGTATCAGTAGAATCAGATGATATGATGGTTGTATTTGATGAATTCTTTGTTTTTTGGTGTTTAAATGGGGTTTGGCCACTAGAAAGCATAGGGGATTCACTCGCACACATATGATAGGTATAGTAAGGACAATTTACAACCCTTGATCTTCTTTGGTGCTAGAACTGGACGATAGAGATTTGAAGATGATCGGAGCACCGTACTGCGGGTAGAGTAGCATCAAAACCGTTGGTGCATGTTGATACTTAGGGGACAATCGGAACAAGAATCTTTGTAATATGATCGCGAGTGTCAATTTTGCTTGTAACATGGCTAGATTTTGCCCGATGCATGTGCGGACCCCGATCCCAAAAGGGATGAATGATACAGGATGCTTAGCTGCACGCGCCACACCATCTGAGAACCGGGCCGGGTTAAATTCATTAGCGTCATTGCCCCATATGGCTTGATCATGATGAACGGCCAAGATTGGAATAAGAAGTTCGGTCCCACATGGGACCTTACATCCTCCCAACTGCACATCGGCCTTTGCGCGTCGAATCGATGCAACTATCGGAGGGTACAACCTTAAGGACTCGTTGAGAATCATGGTCAACTGCACATGGAATCACAACAAATATAAGTAGAAGATTTTATTTTATTTTTTGTCAAGAGAAAAGTGTCAATTAAAAGATCCAGGTAGGGGTAAGATGGTACTTTTTCACGTTGGGTTAGAATGGTCATTGGACACAGCTAGACGACAAAACATGATTTTAGCGTGAGAGAGGGAGGGGTTGTACCGTCTTGAGCTTGGAAACATCATCTTTGGTGGGGATGTCACGTGGTCCGCACACCTTCAACACCTCGTCACGTGCTATCACCTGCCACTGTGGGTGCATAGCTAGCAAGACCGTCGTCCACGTCAGCAGGTTGGAGGTGGTCTGTTCTCCGGCGAAGAAAAAGCTCTTGCATTCCTCGGCGATGTCACGTGGCGTGATGGCGGGGGGCGTCGCCGGCGCCGGCGAGGAGTGAAGTGATTCTTTTGTACTGGCTTGAATCATGAGGCCAAGCAAATCCTTGGGCCCATTTTCCATTCCTTCTTTATCCCAATTCTCTCTTCTCCTCTCAATCACCCTCATCAATGATTTCTTGATTTCCCTCTCTAATCTCCAAGATTCTCTATTTCTTTTTGTGGGTAAAAACCTTGAATAAAAAAGTACTAGAATAAATGACCCCCCCGGATTTAATGAAAATTATTTAAGCGTGTTTTATTTTGCGGACAACGTACCGATAACCCGGGATAGTGACCTTTTGAAACGCTTCAGAAGCCAAGACCATTTGTTGAGCTTGTAATTGGAAAATGCGTTTTCCGTCTTCGTAGCTACTACCAAATGCGGTCCGCGTCACGGTCTCCTCGGTCAAATTTTGGTACCATTTGGACACTTCGATCTCCACCTCATCGGAATTCGACATGTCCAACCATTTTTCCAACATTCTCACCACGCTACTCGTGGCCATGGGTATTAGCAACTATTAAAAAGAGAAAATGTATATATATTTATATATATTAAATTAAAGGAATTTCCTTACTTTTACAAATAATTTAATGATTGAAAAGTAAAAGTAAGCAAGCAGCTTAATTACTACTTACTTTGAGATTCTCCATGTGAAAGGTGGGAGTGATGATTTTTCTATGGAGAGCCCATTTTTCACCCTTGAGACTAAGGAGACCATCACCTTCGAGCTGTTTAATCAGAGGGTGAGCCTCGTTTTTCTCGTAGAATTCCGCTTTCGAGCTGAATACTTCTCTAATAAGGTCCGGTTCCGCGACGGTTAATCGAACTGTGGGTCCAAACCATACTAAAAACGTTGGACCTGCCAAATAATTCAAATCAAATCATTAATTTACCATAACAAAAAAAATACAATTTTCCCTTTATTTTTTTCACACCATCGAAGTAAATGGCATAGAGCTAGAAGTGGTAAGCATCGAGTTAAACAAAAAAAAGGGTGGTGAGAAGGAAACAACACATGAGCCACTAATTTTCATGAAGTTGTGAACTTGTACCCCTAGAGAGAGAGAGAGAGTAGAGGAGAGAGAGGAGAGAGAGAGAGAGAGAGAGAAGACAACTCAAAGGACTATGCCACTATCAAACAGAAACAAGTTCATTATCAAAAGCCAAGCTTCCCACAAAAATCTAAAACAATTATAAGGACACAAAGGGAACAGAAAAGGAAATGATAACTCCAGGACTTTACTTACAAAGATTTCAAAATTCAATGGCTTTTTATCCCTAATAAATCCATAATTCTCCACTCCATTAACATTTTCTTTCTGTATAATACATATACATACATATATATATATRTATATATATAGAGAGAGAGAGAGAGAGTGCAATGAAGAAGAAGGAGGTGATAAAGAATATATGCATCCAAGCTAAGGAGGTGGTCTAAAAAGCAACCTCCATATGTTGTCATGAATGCTATAAAGTGGACAAACTGAACAAAATTAATCTTTTTAATTAAAAAAAAAAAGACATCATCACATGAGGACATTTCCAAATTCCCATACATATAGTATAGGTGCTCTCACGAGATTTAAAGAAAAACAAAATAAAGAAAAAACCCATGTCATTTTAAGCAAAATATAGCCTCAAAATGATCCCAAATTTGATAATATAGAAAAATATGAAGAACCCATGTCCCTAATGCCCAAGATCAGGTAGGTGATGGGTTCAAATTCTTTTTCTCGACCCCATTTACAAATATCGAAGAAAAGCTTTATAGAAATAAATAATCCAATATATATATATATATATATATGTATGTATGTATATGTCGTCCAAGATTTGAACTTGGAAAGATGGATCATTGGATCGGTTTTGAAATCCCTTGGCTTTTCCCCGACCCCATTAAAGATATGGGCAACTTTTTTATACATAAAGCCAAGAAGAAAAAGACCCAATTTTGAAGATGAAAGAATTATGAAGAGAATTGAAGATTGGGATTATATGTATGTATATATATATATATATATGTTGTATATACATACCATAGATTTTCTTCCAATGATGGTAAAAAGAGAGGACTCTAGGAAGGATATTGTGTGAAAAAGGCATGGGTTTAGAAGAAGCTTTCCCCATTAAGCTCACAAGCTCTTTAGCATTTCCAATAAAGAAGCAATAAGGAGGTCCCCTTATGCCTTGTTTGGCAAAATGCTCTTCAATCTTCCTTGGCTTCCACCATAACAACACAAAAATCTTCACACCAAACACCATCACTATCAACATAATCAACACCACTTTCAACCACCATCTCATATATTCTTCCATCTCTCTCTCTCTCTCTCTCTCTCAAACCTGTGTTTCTTGAGAGTTTTTAAGCAGCTGCTTTTTTGGGCTTGAGAGAAGCTGCCTCTTATCTTCTTCTTTGGCTATGTTTGTTAGTACTTGACAGTGGTTTGTTCTCCTTTTTAATGCCACCAACAAGTTTAGAGAGAGAGAGAGAGAGAGAGAGAGAGAGAGAGAAAAGATGTGTAGAGAGAGAAGGTGGGGGTGTTGTTTGGCAAGGCCAACGGCGTAGGGGCCGCCATTGGAAATTTAGAATTATAAGGGTCAACGAATGATAATATTATGATTTTATTCTTATCAATTTGTTAAAGACAATATTACCCTTGTCTTTTCTATTTTCCATGGATCTTGAAATTGAATCTTTGGAATGGCCTTTTTTTTCCTTTTCACTTTCCAATACTTAGTAATAGTACATTACCAAGCTACAAGGCTTGGATTGTATACAACAAAACTCTTAATATAATTATCTTCAAATGAAAGGCCATATAAAGTTTATGTCCTCTTGTTATTTAGTTATTTTTGTTTAAATAGTGTTAAAAAGACAATTTTACCCTTGATCGTAATTTTAGTGATGGCAACATAAGCCATGCTGTGAATAAGTCCTAAATCATAACTAGTAAAGCAAATAATACATGGTAGCTAAAGTGGAGAGTTGCCATGAAAGTAATGTGTCCCAAGAGGGTCTCATTAAACTAAAGTACATAATTTATAGGGTAATTAGACCCATTATGTTGAATCGGTTAGAGGTTGTTTTGTTGTGGCTTAATGAGTTGTATAACTTATATGACTTATCCACTCAGCCATAAATAACCTTTCCCGTTGTGGCTTATTGGGTCATCTCATGACTTAGGCCCTGTTTACTAATCTCTTACCACCTCTTACCCGTTAAGAGATGCTTACCCGGGTAAGAGGTAAAAGTGTTTACCTAACAGCGAAATCAGCAATCAGATTTCCTACCTCTGACCGTCCTCTTACTGGAGTCGGCAAAAAAAATGAATCTTACCGTGGTAAGAGGGATGTATTCCTTATCTACCCTCTTCATCTAAAACCCTAAATTGATGCGTCTTTCTTCATACAAACAAGTGGGTCATGTCCGATTCAAAAGGTGTTGGACGGTGATGGGAGGGCGAGCGGCGGCCGGTCGAGGGTGGCAGAGAGAATCAGGGGTTTTGGACAAAGAGAAATATGCGGGGAAGAGGAACGCCGACACCGTCGATGACCATGTCTGATTCAAGGGGTTGGACGGTGACGGGAGGGCGAGCGGCGGCCGATCGGGGGTGGCAGAGAGTATCAGGGGAACTAGGGTTTTGGCCAAAGAGAAATAGGTGGGGAAGATGAACGCCGRCACCATCGGTGGCCATGTCCGGTTCAAGGTGTTGGAGGGTGACGGGAGGGCGGCGACGGGAGGGCGGTGACGGGAGGGCGGCGACGGGAGGGCGGTGACGGCGAGCGATCTGGAGGTGGCAGAGAGAATAAGGGAACTAGGGTTTTGGGTAAAGAGAAATAGGTTTTTGAGTGGAGATAGATATAGATCAAATATAATTGGGCTTAAATGTGCTTGGGTTGATATGGGCTTGTGCTTTTTTAATCTTATCTAAGTACAATTGGGCTTAAATAATACAATAATTTTCAATTAATACTTATTCCAGAAAGAGGGATATAATGGTCTTTTTTACTTAATCAGCACTTAATACAAAATGTTTGGTAAACAAGAAAATACAATCTGCACTTACTCTAGTATGACCTTTTACCACAGTCAGACCTCTTACACGAATCAACACTTAACCAAAAAAATTGGTAAACGCCCCCTTAATCGCTTAGTCGATAACCAATACTCATTTAGACTCAGCCATTTAATTTTCTATTAATTCCGCAACTACCCTCAATATTCATTCCATCCCTCCTTATCCTCTGTCTATTTTGATCTTACCATTCGTTGTACGAAGAAACCTAATTGTCAAAAATATATTCAAGGAGAGTAATTTCTTCCCAATTTCTACAACTCTCGTTCCATTTTCTTTTTCTTGATCCTAACAATCTTTCATGTTCTACCGCTTTGTAAACTATTTCATGTTCGCTTGGGCTATTTCATTTTCATCTTTCTACGGTCATTAATCTTACCTTGATTTCATACATGAACCATCCTGTTATCAACCAATCTCTTTGGTTGTCTGGAGATTAAAAACCCTTTCCTAGTGGTTGTTTACCACCACAAATACAAATGTGAATGCAAGAAAGAAATGCCCTTGTGGGCATCTGTTCGCAGGGCATATCATCAACATGGATGGAAGAAAGAAATGCCCTTGTGGGCATTCATTCTCTTTTGAAGGATGGTGAGGGAGGTGAAGAATCTAGAAAAAAAAGAAGAAGGAGAGGTGTATGTATTACTGAAGAAGGGATATGAGAGGGGTGTATCCCACAAGGAATTTGAGTCACCAGAGTTGGCGTAAAATCTCGGTCTATATCGCGGGAGAAGGTGATGCAAAAAGATGGTGTCTTGTCTCTGACTCTTTCAGTACCCTTACTGTGTTATTTTCACACACACACACACACACACACACACACATATATATATATATATATATAATTGTGAAAATTTTAGGTTTGAAAAAAATATTAGGGCTCGATATGTTTGTGAATGAAATTGTTCTGATTTGGTTTAATTTCTTTGAAAATGAAGTAGTTTAGAAATTGTTTAAAAATATACACTAAGGGGGTAAAATGATCATTTCTGACATTGAAACTGTTATTCATCATAACAATCGAACAACAATTTATGTAATACCATACAAACAACTTTATCATTAGAGTCAACTTTATCTATACGGGTCTTAATGAAAAATGAACTGAACAACCCTTATAGTTTTAGGAGGCTAAGCGAGGAAATGGAAATTGCAAAAATTAGAAGCTTAGATGAATTTCTTGTATAATCATGTTTGACATGATGTCAAACTTTCCACGAGCGTTGAACGTTGCTTTATCACAAGTAAGTTCACATTCATAGGAGATAAATGGTGGCTTAAGTGAAGAGGATAAAATGTGTGATAGTCAAAGGGACGAGGATCAGGGATAGGTCGAGGAGGACGTATGATTATCAACCGAGGTTGGACATTATGGCTATAGGCATTTTCGAGGACATTACATCTGATAGGAGTTCTTGGTGGCGTAAGATTAAGGTAGTATACTAGGGGTCGAGATCGATAGATAACTTAGTCGGGGAAGAAAGGGGCGGGTGGGGGATAAGGTTAGTGAATTGTTAGTTACCTTACCAAACCCTATGTGTAATTTTTATACCTTGGTTATATTTCTCTTCTACTTCTAATTGTATTTTATTGCTTACTAATATCTAACTTTTCAATTCTTATCTTATTTGCACTTGCAACTCACACATTTTCACCTTTTGGGGGGGGGGGGGGTCTTCAAAGTTGCAACTGATCTAATTTTGGAGCTAGTGGTAGATGTTAAGTATGCATACTGTTATTGAGTATGCCCAAAAGCCAATCATTGCATGACTTTGTTTGGACATTGTTTCATGTTGTTAATTAATGAAAGGCATTGTGCAAGTATTATGTTTACGTGTTATTCTATGTTATATTTAAACGTATAATAACCTTAGAATAATGTATTCTAAAATATCTTTAGTCAAGTATTAATATAGGTAGGTTGAATTAATATGGTATGACTAGTGTATGCAGGGATTCATATAGAGGTACAAAATCCACATATGGGTACAAGATGGGATATTGTGTATCGAATGTGACTTGCTATGAGAATATTTCATTGGATGTCATATGAGTGTCATAGACGTTTCTCATATTGTCATTGTAAAGTTAATTCTTTGACTTGAGCTCATGTAGTTTGTTTTGTGTGAGTAGTGTACTTTGATAACTAATTCAAATCATTACGTAATTGGGTGATAGAATGGTTGTTGGGTATATTATATATCACTTAGTAGTACTAACATGGATCAAGATAGGATTTATTTTTCTTGTATGGCGAGAGTGATATCCCGCTCTCCCCCTTTAAGAACTTTGTAACAAGGCTCAAGTTTTTTGGCCTCTTATAATATAAACCCCTTCTAGGTCATAGGATTGTTACCTACTTTAACTCATATCTTCGTGGTATACCTCAATACAAGACAGGCACATGAAAGGATATTCAATCAAAAATGGGCTATCACCCTATCGAAGCAGGTTTCCCTTCTCCTTTATGGAAGTCATCTTTGAACGGACAACCGCTACATTTCTTGAACGGTCGCTGCCTACATTACTCTTTCTCCCTCTTTTCAAGGAAGTGAGTCTCAGACCATATGTAGTTCTTGGTCATATTTATACAGCTGCTAGACTAGGTCGACTAGTCCATTTTCAATTTTGAAAAGTTATGTTACGTTCTTAGTAGCAATTGGCCACCTTTTTTTCTTTTATTTCACAAAGCACCGAACAGTAAGCTTGGAGAGTGGAGTCGAGGTAAGGTCAGAAAGGATATCATACAAGTGAAGCCCACTAGAGAGAAGTTCACTGATGGGTTCTTGTTTTCCGATAGGAAGAAGAAGGAAATCGCTTTGCTTCTTTCAATAAAAAAATCTGGAAAGGAAAGCAACACAGATGACAAAAAGAAAGTGCTTTCCTGCATCGAAAATAAGGACCTAATAGGTTATGATTCAAAAGAAAGAGAGATTCAAGCCAATCAACCGACTAAGAGGACTATTCACATTTGAAACACCAGAAGCCCCGCTTTTCCAGCATGACCGCAAGCACGGGTTGGCAGGAAGGAGTCAACTAAATGACTATGATATATTTTGGGAGTTGAAGGTCGCAATCCCTTTCCCTCAGGGGAGTTTGTTGGTCCCGTAAGGGTTTACAAGAAGAGAAACTGTTTGTAGAAGGGGGGATGAATACAAACACAGTATTTTCAAATTTAAAATATATATTGATAGAGAAGATCAATACAGATTTTACAAGAAAGATAAGGTAATAAAAACC